GAAGAAAGAGAAAGGAGGACACCACCCCACCCCATGTAGACAAAAACAGGCTTTGGGATTCAAAAGAAAACAAAAAACAAAAATGAGGGCAGAGAGAGAAAGAGACCCCCCAAATAAACCTGTGAGTGAAATGATTCGAAGAAAAAGCTGAATGCAGCAACATTAAAACAGTGGCCAAGGCTGGCGTGGTGTCACACACTTTTCATCCCAGCATTTAGGAGGCAGGGTCAGGTAGATCTCTGTGAATTCAAGGCCGCTCTGGTTTACATTGCAAGCTCCAGGCCAGCCAGAGGCTACTTAATTTAAAAGTTAAAATAAAGAATAATATAACAAAAAATGCCGTGCTGAAGAATTGATTCTATAATACCTGCTTTAAGAAATAAGTGGTGGCGCATGCCTTTAATCCCAGCACTTAGGAGGCAGAGGCAGGTGGATCTCTGTGAGTTCAAGGCCATCCTGGTCTACAGAGTGAGTTCCAGGACAGGCTGGACTGTTTCATAGAGAAACCCTGTCTTGGGGAAGGAAGGAAGGAAGGAAGGAAGGAAGGAAGGAAGGAAGGAAGGAAGGAAGGAAAGCAGGCAACTGTCTCAGCTTTAGTTCTTGGAGGAAAATGATGAATCTGTCAAACTGACAACACATTAACTTGGATTCACAGGCTGTTTTCACTTCTGTATCCTAAACACTCTTTCTATAAACAGGTAGATTTGACATCTGTTTAAAGCATTAGGACTTGAATTTATGATGTATTTTACGATCGCATCAAAATCTTAACTTGACCCTTCCTGAATTCTATCGAAGGCACACATTTAAAAATGAAATGCAGAGGAAGGCTGACAAAATGGCTGAGCAGTTAAGAGCGCTGACTGTTCTTCCAGAGGACCTGAGCTTGATTCTCATGGCCTGAGAAGCAGCTAACAACTATCTGTAACACTCCAGTCCAGGGGATCCTGTACCTTCTTCTGGCCTCTTGGGGCACTGCACATGTGGCATACATGCATGCAAACACCTGCACATATCAAAGAAAGTAAATAAATAAAATTTTAAACTAAAAAAACAAAAATAAAAATGAAAATGGGATGGCCTCCTGTGAATAAGTTGCTCTAAATTAAAGATGTTTTTAAATCTCATTTTCGAACTGTACCTCCCCTTCTCCTCCACCACTGATGATCCGTTTACAGTCACTGGTGGTAGCAATGGCGGTCACTCCGATGCGCTGTTGATGGTGTACAACAGCCGGCCTGTCTCTGGAGCAAAGGCTCGGATTTTCCCATCATCCCATGCTGTCACAAGAAGGAGATAAAAGGCAGGTTGGCACCATTGGTATATTCACCACCTTTCTCTGCAGATTGACAATCTCCTGAATCACCCATGAGAGTGAAAACTGGAAGGAGTGGAAGGAGAGGCTACCCCAGCAACTACCTGTGCTCTTGTGCCCTTCTCCCCAACCTCCCAAACTGGCTGCACTTGGAAAGACAGAGAAAGAAGTTTGTCTGGAGTGTGCCTGCCTGTAGGTGTACCTCATAGCTGGTGAAGGAGGCCTGTTTTCACTTTGCTGTGAATTGCAGATCTCTGCCGTCACCCATGTAGTTATTTTTTATTATTATCATTATTATTATTTGGGTGGGGTTTTCTGTTTTTTGTTTGGTTGGTTTTGGTTTTTGGTTTTTGAGACAGGGTTTCTCTTTGTAGCCCTGACTGTCCTGGAACTCACTCTGTAGACCAAGCTGGCCTCAAACTCAGAGAGATCAGCTTCCTAAGTGCCGGGATTTTGTTTGTTTGTTTTTGTTTTTGTTTTTCGAGACAGGGTTTCTTTGTGGCTTTGGAGGCTGACCTGGAGCTAGCTCTTGTAGACCAGGCTGGTCTCCAATTCACAGAGATCTGCCTGCCTCTGCCTCCTGAGTGCTGCGTTTTCATTGTTATTTGAGACAGTGTTTCACCATGTTCAAACTCTGAGTCCTCCTGCCTCTGCGTCTCAAGTCCACACCCTGCTTTCCCCCACCTTTATGTCTGATACTCCTTCCCTGATCCTCACCATCTTGCCACCTCAACAAAAGCCATCACTACCCATCCAGTTGCTCAAGCTGAGAACCTCAGAGTCACCCTTGATTCTTGATTCCTTTCTGTCCCAAGCACAAAACTCCACAGTCAATCAATCAGGATTTTCCATCAGCTCCACTATTATAAACATCTGGCCTCTGACCTCTTTCTTCCACGTCTGCTGGCAGCCATCCTATTCAAGCCTCCTCTCAAGAGCTCCTCCCCTGCACTCCTGCTTACAATTAAAACAAAGTCCCCTTCCTGATCAAACCTCCCCAAAGTTTTCCCCACTGTGCTAGAATCAAAATCCAGCTTTAATATTTTTTTTTTTTTTTTTTTGGCCAGGCAATGGTAGTACACACCTTTAATCCCAGCACTCGGGCGGCAGAGGCAAATGGAGGTCTGTGAATTAGAGGCCAGCCTGGTCTACATAGTGAGTTCCAGGACAGCTAGGGCTGTTACACGGAGAAACCTGTCTATAATAAATAAATAAATAAATAAATAAATAAATAAATAAATAAATAAAATTGATTCTTTTAAAGAGTAGGTGTATATGTGTGTGGGAGTGTGTACATGTCATTGCAGGTGCCCAAGGAGGGCAGAAGAGAGCATCAGATCCCCGGACCTGAATTAATAAGTGGTTGTGAGCTGCCTGGCATGGGTACTGGGATTTGATCTCTGCAAGACCAGTATGCACTCTTAACCACTGAGTCTTCTCCCCAGCCCTTAAATCCAACTCTTTATTGTGCACACTAGCTCCTATGTGCTGCCCACCTACATCTTCAGCTTCCTCTGCTATCACTCTTCCTGACACTCTTGACACTCCAGACACACTGACATTCTTTCCACTCCTTAAATACATCGAGCGAGTTTCCACCTCCATCCCTCTCTGCACTCGCTATTCCCTCTGCCTGGAACACATTTCCTCAGGTCTGTGTGCTGGGATTTGCTCATCAGCTTTAGCGGTATCTCTTGAACTTGGCAACTTTAAATAGGATGCTCAAGGTAGATCCTGTTTCAGCAAAGACATGAGGAAGTAAGAGGGAATGAAGGGACAGGCTGTGCAGGTGTTTGGAGGAAGAACATTCCAGACCAACTGAACAGCTAGAGTATAGCTTGCTTGCCCAGTGTGTTTGCAGAATAGGGGAGATGCAAGCCCCGCAGGGGAGGTGTGCAGGTTGGGAAGAAGAGAGAAGAGATGGGGAGGGGAGTAGAGAAGGTCCTACAGGGCCTTGCAGGTGACTGCTGATTCTTTGTCCTTTGTGGGGGAAGAGACTTGAAAAGCCTGGCGAATGGCAAGACCTAATTTAACGTTTTAAAATAGACCTTTCTGTGTGGAGCATACATTAGGGAGAAGATAAACTGGATGGCAAGAGAAGAGGCAGAGAGGAGCAATAGGTGCTACTGGGTGATCTAGAAGAGCTGGCAATGGCCAGGACCAGAGTGGAGAAGATGACCAGTGGTGGACCTATGGCTGCCCTTTGAGATGGAGCCACTAGAGCACATGGATAAAGGGGTAAGAGAAACAGAATGGGGGCAAGGATGACTCTTAAGATTCCCTTGTCAGGGCTGGAAAGATGGCTCAGAGGTTAAGAGCAGTGGCTGCTCTTCCAGAGGCCCTGAGTTCAATTCCCAGCAACCACATGGTGGCTCACAACCATCTGTTATGAGATCTGATGACCTCTTCTGGTGTGCAGATATACATGGAAACAGAATGTTGTACACATAATAAAAATAATTTTTAAAAAAAAAAAAAAAAAAAAAAAGGTTCCCTTGTCTAAGGACCTGGGCACAATGTAAGCCACTCAGGGGAGAAGATATGGGAGGAGGGGGCAAGGAGGACACAGAGCCAAGAAAAGAGGGGATGAGCCCCTAGGTCTCTGTTTTAATAGCTTCACTCAGATCCACTTGGCATTCCCCTGGTGTAAACCAATACATTTATTTTTGACCACTGTGGAAATTTGATACAGGTTACTCATAAGGTGATATTAAGAAACTATTGCTTCATAGGAAAATATTTTTAGAGATATATACAGAAATATTTAGAGGAGGAATAATGTGGTATCTATAATTTGGGAGGGAGTTGGTTTCTTGAGTCAGGGTATCCTATAGCCCAGGCTAACATCAACCTTGCTATATAACCAAGAATGATCTTGAACTCCTAATCTCCCTGCCTCTACCTCCCAAGTGTCAGAATACTAGGTGTTCACCAACAGGCTCAACTCATAATATCTATCATTTTCATTAAAACATCAGTTTTGGTATAAATTGTTTTTTAAATTTTTTCTGTTTAGGGACTGGAGAGATGGCTCTATGGTGAAGAGCTCTGGCTGCTCTTCTAGAGGACATGATTTCATATTCCAGGTACCTATATATTTGTAACTCCAGTTCCAGGGGATCTAGTGCCTTCTTCTGCCTCTGTAGACCCCAGAAAGGCATGTGGTACACAGACCATACATGCAGGCAAAACACCCATACACATATAAATAAATAAGTAAGTGCTTTTACCAGCACTTAGAGGTAGAGTCTGGAAGAACAGGAGCTCAAGGCCATCCTCAGCTGCATAGCAAGTTCAAGACCTTTGTGGGGGGAAAAGACTTGAAAAGCCCAGCAAATGGCAAGACCTAATTTAACATTTTAAAATAGACCTTTAGTTTCTGTGTGGAGCATAGACTAGGGAGAAGATAGACTGTGGACAAGAGTAGAGGCAGACAGGAACTACTGGGGTGATCTAGAAGAGCTGGCAATGGCCAGTGTGTATTGCTTGAGCCCCCTTAGAACAAACAAACAAATAAAAGCAAAACAAAACAATGTGCATTGCATAGAGTTGAATCTATGAATGTAAAATTAAAAAGAATTCTTTGGGCCAGCTGTGGTGGCACATGCCTTTTAATCCCATCACTTGGGAAGCAGAGGCAAGTGAATCTCTAAGTTTTAGAAGCCTGGTCTACAGAGTGAATTCTAGGATAGTCAGGGTTACACAGGGAAATTTGAGTTGGATTTTTCTATCTTACACAAATGAGTTCTAATCCAAACCCTATACATACTACAAACCCTATACATACTATGCCTCCAATCCAGTTCAGCATCAATGATTCCCCCTACTACGGAAAATACATCCCTGGTAAGTGAAACAGTTTGAGAGACGTGGTCCTTCCCACCTAGGAAACCTCCTGGGAACTCCAAGGAGAGGCTAGACCCTAAGAGAAGGGAATGGGTGGCAGAAGGCTGTCCCTGATGATCCACAGGCAGACATTAGTGGAAGAATGAGAATGACAAGAATTGAAACCTCAGCCAGAACCTAGATCCAAACCTCCATTGGAAGCAACCACCAGATTTTCTGTTGTTTGGTTGCTGGTTTGAGACAGTATCTCATGTAGCACAGGCTGGCCCCTAGAACTCAAGAATAGCCTTGAAGTCCTGTGCTCCTGCCTCCACCTTGTAGGCATGTACCACCATGCACATGCCAGTCACCTGAGATGATGCTCTTGCCGTCTCTCATGAAGTCGATGCCATGACAGGTCATGTTGGGCACGGTGATCCGAAGCAGCTCCCGATTGGATGTTGTGTGCCACACCCTGATGTCTTTCTTGGCACATGTAGCAAATAGCTCAGCAGTGCCACTACAAAGAAGCCATGGAGTTTGGATAGGTCATCAAAGATGTGCAGTGTTCATTGGGTGTGTATTTGCTATCAAATGTGCCTCATAAACATGTGGGACCGGATGCCCTTTGCCTACCAATTCCCTGAAGGTGTGAGTTACAGGTTTCTTGTGTGGGGAGACACTCAGTCAATTCCCCACATCCCCTGTGGAAAATCTTTTGTCATCGTTTCACTTTTGCAAGAGTTGGGACAAAGTTGTTTATAAAGAAAAGTCAATTTGAAATCTTTACAAAGCTTGATAAATTGGGGGAATAGTCACAATTATTTTAGATTATTTTGGGGGGATATGACACACACACACACACATCTGTGTGTGTGTGTGATATGCATCTGGATTAGTCTGGAGGCCAGTGTACACCTAGCCAAGTAGTATTTCTTGAGATAAATATATCCACGGAATATCTTTATTAAAAGAGGAAATTCCAATGGAGTTGAAAAGACCTTAGTAAGATTACACAGAATAAAATGGCAACATGGTAAAATTCACATTTACACCCTCCTTTTTTATTCAGTTCTGAGAAAATAAGAAATCATGAATTAAAAAAAAAAAGAAGAAGAAGAAGAAGTATTCCGGAGTAACTGATCAGTCAGGCTGTGGGGAAAGGGCCATTTTACATGGGGTGTAAATTACCAATGTGTCAGATAGTTATAGATGACTCTAATTTTGATAAGCAAGGAGGTGACATTAGGGTTAAAAAATAAATCTCTTTTATAAGTGTAAAAGTTCTCCTCAGTCTCTGGGAAGACAAAGCTAAACTTTGATCTAAACACTCATTGTGCAATTTCTCCATTTCATCATAAACATATTTCAAAAGATGTTAGAGCCTCTCCAATTTTAAGGTTTACTCACTTTAGCATTAATAGGGAAAAACCCAAGTAGATCCCATCTGCACACTGAGTAGAGTTCAGGGTTGCAATTAGGTGGCAAAAGAGAACTCCTAAGAGTCATCCTCTGACCTCCACATGCCTACCATGGCACACATGCAACTGTATACACACACAGACACACACTCAAGTATAAGTGTAAAAACAACAAAGAAAATAAAATCATATAAAATCCAAATAGGTTGGCATTTACATAAATTTAAAAGTACAGTTTTGAAAAATATCCTCATAGAGGCTGGAGAATTGGCTCAGTAGTTATGAACACACAATTATCTTCCACGGAACTTGAGTTTGGTCTTCTGTTAACTCCAGGGCCTCCCTCTTCTGGCCTCTGCGGGTGCATACACACACACACACACACACACACACACAGAGAGAGAGAGAG